TCACTGCCCCCCGGGCCTCCGGAGCGCAGGCGAGGGGAGCGAGCTGAGCCTGGTGCTCGGGAAGCAGCTAGAAAGGCCATGCTGAGAGGGGCCTCGGCGGGCCCGTCTGCACCACCTGCCGCGGCCGCTCCCCGCGGCCGCACAGCAGCCCGCCCCTCGCTCCCGCTCCCGGGCAGCGCCGAGGGCGGTCTGAGCCCTTCGGACGGCGGCAGCGTCAGCCCACCTGCCCCAGCCCCGCCATCGGCGCCTGCCCCAGCCCGGCCATCGGCACCTGCCCCAGCCCCGCCATCGGCACCTGCCCCAGCCCCGCCATCGGCACCTGCCCCAGACAGGTTGTGAGGTGTGGCTCCAGCTCAGCTGGAACGTGTTTCCAGAATTAACAAGTTTGCCTTGGTCTAAGAAGCGTGGGGTGGCGAGGGGCGGGGAAGTGCAGTCACACTCGGCAGGTGCAGGGCCAGCCCGGCCGCACGGCCCAGCCGTTCCTCCTCCCGCTCGGCCCTGGAGGGTGGAGGATGGAGGCGGGCGAGGCGGGTGTGGGCTGCAGACACCTCCATGGGCCCTGCTCCTCCTCCTGGCGCCCGCTCCAGTGCCCCCCCTCCTGCCCCAGCCCCAGGCCCTCCTGCCCCAGCCCCCGATGGGCTCGTGGAGGCCGCTCGCCAGCCCAGGCACTCGTCTGGCCCTCCAGACCCGGGATGTCACTCTGAGGTCCACTTCCCACCACCCCTCTGGGCATGGAGAATGAGCTCGTGGGTGTTGAATTAAATGAATAAAGAAGCATTTGAATAAATTAATATTTTGGTTGCTTTAGGCTTTAAATTTCAGAAGTAAAACCAGGGGAACTCCTTTTTCCCGATCTTCTCTAAAGGATAAATTAATGAGTATCAAAACGGGTCCTCCCAAAGGGGCCCTATGTTCACAGCTTTAGAAAACAAAACTGGTGCCCTGGCTGGTTTGGCCCAGTGGATAGAGTGTCGACCTGTGGGTGAAGGGCTTCGAGTCCGATTCCAGTCAAGGTCACCTACCTCAGTTGCAGGTTCGATTCAATCCCTGGCCCCGTGAGGGAGCGGATGGAGGCGACCAATTGCTGCGTCTTTCACGTCAATGTTCCTCTCCCCCTCCTTTCCATCCTCTAAAAACAATAGAAAAATACCCTCAGGTGAGGATTAACAAAAACAACAAATAAAGAATGAAAGTAAATAAAATAAAAAGTGGTGAGAGCTCTGGCCGGAGCGCCGAAGGGTCATGGGTTTGATTCCCGTCAAGGACGAGTGCTTGGTTGTAGCTCCATCCTGGATCCCTGCCAGGTATGTGCGGGAGGTGTGTCTCTCTCACATCGATGCTTCTTCCTCCCCCCTCCTCCCGCTCCCCCTTCCATCCTCTCTCTGAAAAGCAAAGAAAAACAGTATTCTTGGGTGAGGATAATAACACAATGGCTCACCGTGTGGCGATTGGGCTATAATTGATACTGGATTGATGGTGAAGGGGCTGTGACTTTTTGTGTGATTGGTGACTTTGTTTGCTCCTGGCACCCTCTCCCTGGGGGGCAGCGAGGAGGGACCTGTCAGAGCGCTGCCTCAGCGTGGGCCCCTGCGGAATGTGAGGTGCAGGAACCACTGGCTGGGCAGCCACGGGCCTATCAGGAAATCTAAGCTCATGTTATGTCCAGCTGGAAAGCCAGCCAACAAAACAAAAGTAGGTGCAGAGCTGCGGTTTGAAATGAAATTTAGTCAAGGGATTGCTCAAGGTGATGGGGAAATTGGAAGGCGAGGGCCCTGTCCTGTCTGTAGGTCTCATTTGATCCTCCAAACATCAGACAACCGAGTGGAGCAGCTACCACCGCCCCTTACGTGAACCTAGCTTTTCATTCTTCCCAATGAGTCATCCTTTAGCACTTTTCCTGGGGCAGAGCGCAGGCCCGGGGGAGGCAGCCTGGACATGCAGCCCGTTCGGCAGATAGGGACTTTGGGGTGAGGCCTGGCCCTAAGTCCTGCCGCCGCTGCCAGCTGCCTGGCGGGAGCCAGTGACTCGCCCTGTGGAGCCAGCGCTGCCCCCGCAGTGGAGCTGGCCCTGCTCAGAGAGGTGTCTGGGGGCCCAGCCAGCCAGGCTGGTCACTCTGTTTCACTTTGCTTTCCTTCCAGCAGTTACATAACAGCCCTTTTCATATTTCAAAACAAAGTAATTTGGTTCACATTCATCTGATCTTTACAAGTCTGGCTTTTCAAGGTCTTTTTCTCTGTTTCAGACCTTTATCCAGCTATAGGCCCCTCACTTCAACACCAAGCCTGCTGAAAGAGCACGGAGGAGAAGATGATTGATTACTCACACCAGAATAGAACACAACAACAAAAACCACAAGTAAAATATATAAAAATCTTAATTTAATACATTAGTCTAGGAAAATCTATAAATCTGTTTTGAAATCACTATCTTTTCTTATTTAAAAAATTCTAGCCATTTTTCTATTTCATTTTCCTGCACATGATTACAATCACTTCCGGGTCTCGTGAATTTTCCAGGCTGCACACTGGCTCAGGGCAAACCGGTTTGGCTAGTGACAGAGGCTTGGCACAGCTCACCACCCCACCCTCCCCATCTATTTCCCGAATTCCCAAGGACCTGAACCCGTGCGGGCTGGCAGTCAGGAACAGCTGGATCAGGGTCGAGGGCCACTTGGCCTTTTCTCCGAGGGCAGTTCTAACGTTTGGGCAGATGCCTGCTTCTGCCGAGAGCCTCGTCCAAGAACATGATCTCAACTCCTGCTGGCTTCACGCTAGGACCTTAACCCCAGACACCTCCCGGGCAGCAGCGGGCAGGGCACATAGCTCCTGCCACGCTTAGACGGTCCCTATTCTCAGGCCTGAGGATGAGAGAGGGCAGAGCAGCAGTTTGGCCTCAGGCCACTGTAGGTTTGTCTTCCGGGTCTAGCCCAGGCTGCCTGGGATCCTTAAGCTGATGAGAGCCTCGGTTTCCTCAAATATAAAGCGGGAATGACTGGCTGCCGTGAGGCAGCGATGCTGTGATGTGCAGCGCTCGGTGAATGGTAGTTAGCACCAGGAACAGACAGACAGGCGGCGCTGACAGGGCAGTGCCCAGAGCGGCGGAGTGGGGCCCCAGGAGCCCACCCCCCAGGAGGCTGCCCAGGCTCCCCTGGGCTCTCCTGTTGAAGGTGCTGACGAGAACACACACAAGGACATGCAAACCAAACGTGGAGCATGCAGGACCTTTTTATTTAGTCTTTATTTTAAATGTGTGCTTTTGAAATAGTTTATTAAATATGACCTTTCAAAATTCAATTCTCACAATATTTACAGTGAATTTTGTGCAAGCATATATTGACTGTGAGCTTCTGGCTCCCTCTTTCACATTAATAATTTACAAACCTGTATTACAACAAAACCCTGCTACTTCACTTATTGTCTCTTGAGCCTTGTTTTGTTTGACAGGAACCAAACTAAGAGAAGGGGTTGCTAGGTAAGAGCTAATTCAAACCCAGAGAAAATAAAATGTTTTACTTATCAAAAAGGATTAAACCAAGGCCTTGATTTCAATTGAAAACATGTGTCCCATGATGCTGTGGGACAGTATTTAAGCAGCCAAATAAATTTCCAATGGTTATTGTGCTTTTGTTTTTAAAAATATATTTACACTCATCTCTTCTAACCAAATAAGCAAACCCAGAAAAGCGAACTCTATTACTTTGGGCTGTCTGGGAATGTTCTAAACGTAATTAGACTAAAGAATGAAGGGCATCAGCTGGGCTGCCGGCTGACCCTCCCACGCCAGCATCGGCCAGAGCTGCTGCCCGAGGCCCCGGGCCACACCTCCTGCCTCAGGACCCCACGCTGCGCCCCAGGAGCATGAGCCTGCGCCCCAGCCACGGAGGGCGAAACCCTGCCAGGTACCGCTCTGGGTGGAGAAACATCTGGTTGAAGAACACAACACCCAATATTGTAAGAAGTAAAAGTTCCTACAGAAGACAATAACTGCAAGAGAATATTTGGGACCAACATTTTATAATTTTTCTACCTTTTTACTGAATACTTTACTAGGAAATTAAGAGTGACAGCTTATTAGAAAATAAACTGAATAATTTTTAGTCATTTGACACTTTTTTATGCATTTAATAATCTATCCTCCCAATGACAATGTTCCTTTATTTATAAAAATGGTTTAAAGACCTGTGATACCCTTTGTACATCCTAGGTATCCTAATGCAATGATTCCTACTCTGAAACACTTTCACCACAAAACATGTTCCCCGTGATAAAAATTATGAATGAAATATTCCAAATGTTCATGAATGCTATGGAAGTCAGTGTGAAACATCCATGACTGTAGCTGGAACTATGGTTCGGAAGTTTTCAAGTGAGCAAGCAGGTCACACCACCCAGTCCGCTATGCCCCTGTGCCCCTGGGAATCCTTGGTTCTGAGCCATCCCTCCTGCAGGCGGGGCAGCGGCAGCGGGAGGTGCCCGGAGTCAGGAGTGCTGAGGACATCCCTTGTGATGGAATGTGGGACAGTGGACAGAAAGGAGGGCTGAGCAGGGGGTTGGGCATCGATTTCCTACGAAGTCAGGAACCGCCAATTAGAGTTAAAAGACATAGGCAGGGAACAAGAATATCTAGTGACTGACACACGGATCTTATTTTCTCAGACCTGTCAGTGCCTTAAGGAATTTGCCCAAGTGCAGGTAAGTCAAACATCTTGTGCCTTCTGCCCAGCAGTCCCACCTCTTTGAGGATTCAGTGACCCATCACTTGGGCTCCTCCTTAGTGGCTCATAGGGACTGGGAACTCAGGGTTGCTTTTCAGCAACAAAAACGTTACAATTGCTTTTATTAATAGCTCTGATTTCACATAATTACAGACTTGATTAAACTGAATATATGATTCTAGGTTAGTTTCTTTTCACCCAAATGTTCATATTCCATCTACACTGAACAATGAGTGAGAAGAGCAGGCGCCTCTCAGGAACGGTGACGGCCGGAACTGGAGAGCCTTCAAGGGGCCGTTTTCTTCAAGTCGCGAATCTGTTTAATCAAGTAGTTCTTCTCGTCAGTGAACTGCTCATCGTCCGTCCTTTCTTTTTGGAAGCTGCTCAGAAACTCAATGAGCTTGGGTTGATTTTTTAACAGAATCTCCACAATAGGCTGTGTTTTGTGAGGACTGGCCACAAATACCTGAAACAAAGAAATGAATATGGAGACAAGCAATGCACACCAGGGACAGCACGGATCCTACATGTTCATGTGGTCCCTGTGTTAGTATACTATAGAAAGCTGGGCCACACTTCATTAGGAAAATCTTAATTCCCCATTCATATCCATCTCCTATATATTACATGAAACTATATTTGATATATTTGAAATGGTATCTTATATTTATATATTTATCTATAGCTCTGGGCTCTCTCATGTTCTCTCTCACACTTCAGAATGCAGAGTGTTTCACCACCAGCCCCCTGCCCCAGCCTCCACATCGTGTACCTCCAACAGTGCACTCTACGCTCAACATGCTAGGAACAGGATTGCTTATGACAGTGGGGGTCACAAGGTTGAGCCCTAAAGGACCCCCCAACCCAGCAGTTATGGGGAGGGAGAAAACTACACAAAGATGTTAAGAACTACCTGGCCAGTATGGCTCAGTGGCTGAGCATCAACCTCTGAACCAGGAGGTCATGGTTCGATTCCAGGTTAGGACACAGGTTGCAGGCTTCATTCCCAGGGCAGGGCATGCAGGAGGCAGCTGATCAATGATTCTCTCTCATCACTGATGTTTCTATCTCTCTCCCCCTTCCTCTCTGAAATCAATAAAAATATAATTTTTTAAAAAGATGTTAAGAACCAATGAGGTTCAGAAAGGCTGCAGAGATTCAAAGCAGAGGAGATTACATTAGACTTCTGCATTTGGAACAGGAAGGGCTGGGGGTGTAGGCCAGCAGTCGCCAACCTTGTGGACTTCACGGACCACCAGTGTCCGCAGACCACCCGTTGGCGAGCGCTGGTGCAGGTGACATGAGAGCAAGTCAATGAATCAGATTTTCTATTTATTCTTGAGTCAGTTTAGTAATTTGTATGTTCCTATTCATTTGTGCATTTCACCTAAGTTACCTAATTTTTTATGTATAATCATTCATATTATTCTCTTATACTATTAAAAAATTCTATAAGGAGATTGAATCAATCATCAAAACGCTCCTGATAAAGAAAAGCCTAGGACCAGGCCTAGGACCAGGCAATTTTACTGGTAAATTCTACAACATTTTAAAGAATTAACACTAATTCATTTAAAAATTCTCCAAAAAATAAAACAGAAGGAAATACTTCTTAACTCATTCTATGAGGCCAGCATTACTCTGATACCAAACCAGATAAAGGCATTACAAGAAAACTATAGACCCATATCCCTTCCACTTTCTCTAAAAAATCAATGGAAAAATGTCCCTGAGTGAGGATTAACAACAATAAAAAGGAAATAGTCTGGCATTTGTGGTAACTACAAACATAACAGTCTTTCTTTTTAAAAAGAAGATTAAATATACTGGGCAAACTAAGCTTCTCTGTATCAATCTGAAATAAATATAAAATGTGCTGGAATTTGCAGACAGGCATCATTGGATCAACTCCATTCAACCCATATATTGTACAATAGACCTAAAATGGTTCAATTTGTTTTCAAGTTTAAAAATTTACTTTATTTTTTATTTTGTATGGGTTCTGAACTCTGTTGCCTCTAAAGGTAGATGCTGATTTGAGGCAACTAATGCAATACTGCAGGGCTCCTCGGGGGCAGCTGGGACACTGAAGGGCCCAGGTCAAGGCTTGAGATGAACCATTTCATAAGACATGCACTTCCAAGTCAAGGTCTGAAAACCAAATACTATTTTGTTTTGTTACCTCACCGGAGGACACTTTCTCCATTGATTTTTTAAAAATGTAAATTTTATTGATTTTTTACAGAGGAAGAGAGAGGAATAGAGAGTTAGAAACATCAATGAGAGAGAATCATCGATCAGCTGCCTCTTGCACACCCCCTACTGGGGATGTGCCCGCAACCAAGGTACATGCCCTTGACCGGAATAGAACCTGGGACCTTTCAGTCCGCAAGCTGATGTTCTATCCACTGAGCCAAACCGGTTTCGGCTTTCCATTGATTTTTAAAGAGAATAGAAGAGAGGGAGGGAGTGCCCTGACAAAGAATTGAACCTGAGACCTTTTGGTGTGTGTTGGGGGGAGGAGGGCGGCAAGGACACACTAACCACTGAGAAAACCAGCCAGGGCAAAACCAAATCATTTGAATGTATATTCAAGATAGAGCATTTGTTGGTTCTATCTACTGTACCCATTTTTAAATGCTATTTTCAATCCCCCCAAAAGTTATACAAATGAAACTACTTGTGACTTTTCTTTTTAGAATGCAGTCTTATTGCATGTATCCCTTAATTTACACAAAATGTTTCAGAAATTCGATTTATGGAGAAAGACAAATATCATGACCACAATTCAAATATTTCAGAAAACTAAGAGTATTTTAAGCCTGAGTGCTTTTAAAAATGAATAACAAAAATATTCTTATTTTACACATATATTCATTCATTCTATTCAAGTTCTATGTATTTTACCAAGAGGGATTTGTGCTAGACCCAATATTGGATAGCTAGTTTTCTTCTTTATAAACCTTACTATAAGCCTGGAGTGCTTTGTATATGGGTTTGAAATTGGGGCTCTTGTTATAGTTACATAAAATTTACTAAAAAGAAAATTTCATTCTATGCAAGTGTAGAATAAGACCTTTCAATCCTAAAGGTTCACTTTCCCAAATGAATACAATATTTAGACTACTTTGACGCTAGTTAAAAGTAGTTGATGAAACATTAGCTGATATAAACACTTTTTCAGTGTACTATTAAAATTTTTAGAGAAAGTTTTATTATTAAATCAGATCATAGCTGACTCCTAAATTCGTTTGGTCTCAATCGCTTTCTCCATCAGTAGACTTAGATTTGGTGCATTGTGACTGAGGAAGTTGGTTTGTTAAAAAATAAGTCTCTAAAGAAGTGGGTAATTTAGGGTTAGTCTTTTACCAAATTAATGTGCAATTCTGCTTGCTTTTCAGTAAGACCACATTAAAATTATTCTCAACTACCCTGTTTCCCCAAAAATAAGACAGTGTCTTATATTAATTTTTTCTCCCAAAGTTGTGCTAGGTCTTATTTTCAGGGGATGTCTTATCTTTCCATGTGCTAGGTCTTATTTTCGGAGGATGTCTTATTTTCGGGGAAACACGGTAGTATGTTTCTTATTCTGTATACTTTTTTTTTTTTTTAGAAGAATTATCAAGCTGGCCTTTGAATTGTGGAATAAGCTAGGATAGAGCTTCTTGTTTTCATAGAAATGGCTATTGTGGCCCACTAGGATGTGAGTGACAGAGTAATACTAGTATCCTTAGGACCAATTTTGGCATGAGTCATCCTCAAATTCCAGCAGCTCTGAGAGGTTAGTCAAAAGGCACAGACAGAGCGGAGCTTGAAGATGGCGACCGAACAGTCGGACCTGTTCTGACTCTGGTCCCAGAACGGATAAAGGGGGCTTCTGAGTCGCTCAGGGAGAGTTGATTGGCAGCTAAGGGACAGCGGAGCTCTCAAGGAGGGTAAGGGAGAGTCCGCTGGACAGGATTTCCTGACCAAGTGGCCAGGACGGCCGCGGCAGCAGCAGCAGCAGCAGCAGCAGCAGCAGCAGCAGCAGCAGCAGCGGCGGGGGCAGCGGAGGCAGCGTACGGTGGCTGCGGGCGTGGAGGAAGGGCTGCATTGTCTTGCCAGGAAGGAAAGAGCTTCTCTGAGGCTTGGAAAACGCACAGCCCGGAGGTCCATCGAGCAGCTGAGACTCCCAGAGCTGCGCAGACACGTGGATTCCGGGGAGATCTTCAGTCACCCACGGAAAGGTCAGAGTTTGCGGGGATAGCCTAAGGGATCTGGGTTCCGCGGCAGCGAGCTCCGGCCCCGCCTCCACTACGGCAGCCGGGGAGCTCCGGCCCCGCCTCCGCTACAGTAGCCGGGGAGCTCCAGCCCTGCCTCCACTGTAGACGGGTGCGCGAACTACCTCCCGCGGAGGCGGAGCGGAGCCCAGAGAAGGCTACAGCGACACCTAGTGCTGGGTTTGAAGTAATCCCCCCCAGAAGAGGGGCTTTTTTAAAACGCCAGGGGACACGGGACAGAGTGTTAAGAATCGCGGCTGTCCCGCCAAGGGCGGAACATCTGGACACCTTGGCACCGGTTCCCATTCATCCCCTTGCTTCTGAATACTAGAGAAGAACTGCCCAGTTGGGCATAGCCGGGGAAATTGTAGGGGGAATTTGCCTTCTGGAAACAAGGGATTGGAGCCAGAAGACATAGTCCTGGAGCCAGCTAGAGCCATAGAGAAAGAAGGCCAGAGCAACCAAAAAGACTGGGCGGTCAAACCGGAAACACTGACACCTAAGAGCCGAATTACAAACTGCCTTTTTTTTTTTCTTTTTCTTTTTTTTCTTTTTTTTTTTTTTTCTCTTTTTTCTTTTTATTAATCAAAAATAAACGGACACAAATAACTAAGATATAACCTGCTTAAAATTAAGGTTTACCTTACAAAACTCAGGTGCAGTGGAATGCTGGGGACTGCAAGACTGTCTGGTCTGAGAATCAGGAGGGCCAAATACATTAACAGAGGAAGTGAATGACCACTACTGGACATTTTTATGCTAATTTTACTATTCTTTATTTTATTTTCATTTTTTACATCTTTTATTTAATTTTCACTTTTTATAGCATTTACTTAAGAAAAATTTTTTCTATTTTTTTCCTTACTTCATTTTACCTTTTCAATTATTACATTTTTCAATCTTTATCATCACTATTACTACTGCTATTTTGCAATTTTTGTTTCTTTCCTTTTTTTTTTTTTTTGTTCTTTGTTTTTTCTTGTTTGTTTGTTTGTTTGTTTGTCTGTTTGTTTCCTCTCCAGTACCATTTTATTTTATTTTTTTTCTGTATTTTACATTGGGAATAACCTCCATTCTATTTTAATCACTACTTTAGCATCATTCAACCCTATCTCAACTTGACCTTTACACCATCACTCTCTTACTAAACTTTACCCTTTTAGTCAACGGTTTATCCTATCCCTTCCCGGCTCTAGATTTTCCTCTA